GTGACTCAGCATGAGCTCACTTTCAGTGGGATTTGTCTGTTGAAAGCAGACTTTCAGAAACTGTTTGTAATGGAGAGTCAACAAAGAATTCACAATACACAAATAATCCCTAATATTCTGTACATTAAATGATTGACATCCAATGTTCAAAAACTGGGAAGAGACACAACAGGCAGCTAACAGAACAACAGAGCTAAGGAGGCAATGCTGATGAGCTCATGGATCTCGGAGGAGAATCTATGACCACCACTTTCCTAAACCAGCATAACTCCTAACTTCATTCAAAGTATTTATCCTTATACTCACAGATAAGGGTAGCAGCATATACCCCTTATACCTCCCCCACAAAAAAACCCCCAAACTCTCTCTTCTCACTCTGAAGTAGACTAAAACCATAACAGAAATCCAAAAACTGTTCAAAATTTAAAAAAAAAAACTCTGTGGAGTGCCCAGCCCCAGTTGATTCATCTATGACACTAGCCCCCCACCTAAAGTTCAGGGAACATTGTAAAACTCCAAGAGCCAGAGGACAAGGATGTCTACTGTGGTGTTGAGTTTTCTATATTTGACAGCGGAGCTGGACCTGTGGCCATCTAAACAAGATCTGAATAATGACAACGTCAGCTGACATGCCAGTGTAGATGAGGGAAATCGCACAAGGCCCTACTCCTATATGAAGAGCTATAGGCAGCTAACAACGCTGAGAGAGGGAGAGTCAGTCTTCCCCAGGGACAAGCTCCCCGATAGATTCTCCAGTCCCTAACAGTTGGCCATAACACATACACAAACGATGCTAAATGGACTCAGCAGGCTTTACTTCTCTCTCTCTCTCTCTCTCTCTCTCTCTCTCTCTCTCTCTCTCTCTCTCTCTCTCTCTCTCTCTCTCTCTCTCCGTGTGTGTGTGTGTGTGTGTGTGTGTGTGTGTGTGTGTGTAGGGGATGGGGGAACACATGAGAAGTTGGAGGGGGGGAAGTGATATAAATATAGTATTTGTATGAAATTTACAAAAGTAAACTTAAGAAGAGAACACAAAGTAAAACCACAAGGAGATAGATAGCTCTTCATAGCAGTGACATAGTAACAACTTTAACTAAAATGTTAAAGATGATCAAGCATTGACAAAAGTGAGGAATAATTGAAAGTCCTACAGACAGTGGAAAATACTAAATGATACAAATGCTTTGGTAAACAGTTCTCTGTTTTTTAAAGGTACGCATATGACTAACCTGTAACCTACTTATTCTACTTTCATATATTTACGTAAGAGATAGGAAACAAGTTGCTTAAAAGAAATACTTGGGAACTGGGTGGTGGTGGTGCATGGCTTTAATCATAGCACTTGGGAGGCAGAGGCGGGTGGATCTCTGTGATTTCGAGACCAGCCTTGTCTACACAGTGAGTTCCAGGACAGTCAGGGTTACACAGAGAAACCCTAAACCCTGTCTCAAAAAAACCAAAAAAAAAAAAGAAAGAAAGAAAAGGAAAGAAAGAAAAAGAAAGAAGGAAAGAAAGAAAGAAAGAAAGAAAGAAAGAAAGAAAGAAAGAAAGAAAGAAGGAAAGAAAGAAGGAAAGAAAGAAGGAAAGAAAGAAAAGAAATACTTGGGGTGGGCATATAGTTCAACCAGTAAAGTACTTCTCTTCAAACCTGAAGATCTGAGTTCATTCTCAAAATTACTGTAAAAACAGAAGTAGCTGGTGATGACAGTACATGATTGGCAGATTCATGGGACTTCGTGGGACTTGCTAGGCAGCCAGTCTATACTATTTGGTAGTTCCAGGCTGGCAAGGGCTGCTATCTCCCAAAAGTCAGTAACAGCTGAGTTTGTCCTCTGTTCTTTGCATACTCATGCACACATGTGTACTTGCACACATGGGGACAGACACACACATATCAGAGAGAGAGAGAGAGAGAGAGAGAGAGAGAGAGAGAGAGAGAGAGAGAGAGAGAGAGAGAGAGAGAGAAGCTTACTTGCTTTCTTCATATAAGCTTCAAATGAGAAACAACTCAAAAGAGTTGTCAGGACCAAGGGGCCAGCATGGTGGGAAGTGGATCAGACACACATTGCAAAGGAGTCAACTACACATACACAATAACAACCTAGGGGACTCTCAAAAACAGCACACTGAATTATGCAATCAAGACCCAAGACGTGTGTAGTGTGATGAAACTTTTATAAAATTCTGAAATAGCGAACCTGACCCATAGTGATGGGAATCAGACCAGGGTCCATTCCAACCACAAAGGAAACAAAATGAAACTTTCTGATACACTGAAATGTGTTCTATCTTGGCTGGGGCTATGCTTACTAGGAAGTATATATTCATCAAAAAATTAAACTATGTTTCTAAAATAGACATTGGATTTATGTAAATTGTATCTCAAAAATTTGACTTAAAAAACAGCAATCAAGAATATAAGATGATACCAATACATGCTCACCACAATGACCTAAGTTCAATGTATTCACAACATTAAGGATTGATAAGTGTGTTCAGCAACCCAAGTCTTTGCAAGAATTGGTGAAATTAAATCAGAGAAACACACTTAAGAATGTAAACCATTTGCCAGTATTCCCTGAAGCCGGTCATATACCTATACTATGGCTCAGCAATCCTATTTCTTGGTATGCATATGCCTACTGGAGACATGTATATATGCACCAGAAAGCATACAAAAATACTTATGGTGACATTACTCATAAAAATAATCTGAAGTCCATCACTATTAAAGTGGATAGAGTGTGGTATAATTTTGTAATGAAATACTATATGGTGATAAAAAGGAATGAACTTTTATACTACTACAAGCAACAGAAATGAACTTTTAAACATAGTGTAGGAATAATGAAACCAAACAAGGGAATGTAATATATAGATAAGATAGTGGGGATCTCTGTAATGGAGGTGGGGTAGTCATGGGGAGGGAGTAGAAGGGGCTTATACAATGCTGGAATGCTCTGTTCTTTATGTAACTTTTTTGATAATCCATCAAGGTGCTCATTCATCATGTATTCTCATTTGTAATTATCACATACGTTATATGTCAAATTACATTTATTTTCAATAAAGAAAATTCAAAACACATGTGCTAGAGGGCCTGTAGGAAAGAGACAGAGTGAATCTCAAGGAATGCAGAGATGAAGGAGGATTTGGGAGATAGAATGACACTAGATGAAGGGAGATGTGTGGGGACAGAAGTCCTGTGTTTCTTATTCATGATTCACTGAATCCCAACTAGTAGGCAAATGTCAGAATAACTTTACCCTGTCCAAATCTGTCCTTATTTCAAGAAAGCCTTCCTGTTTGAGCCACAAAGACAATCCCTGCATCTATACCTATGTAGAAATTCAGGGATTGGCTATTATCACAGGCTCCTTTGAGTCTACACGCCCGTGTGTACAGAGGTGTTGACCTGAATCCATTATTCTCGTGTGGCTATTTTTGCTTGATGAATTAACACAAGGCAGTTTTTACTTTCAACAAAGGTGTACATGCTTAGACCTTGCAATTACTCTGTTTTCTTCTTCTAGCTGAAGCCTGGGATTTGGCAGATGGCTGTGAATTGGTCCTTGCTCACCAACTCAGAGCCTTGGTCCCAAGCTCAGAGAAAAGGCCACTCTATCATATTCTGAAAGAACCCTTCTATTCGTGTTCTCACCTCAAAATTGTGATCTCTTTGGGTGCTTTAACAAATCAGCCCCTTCCATATGAAGCCTGGAATCCTTTGGATTATCAGCTTTACAGTGACTACAGCTCCATGGTTCTTAGTATTAACATTTTTCGTTTTAGAGGCCCTAGAGAGATACTGCTATCTTGCTCAATATTACATCTTTCTTTTTTAATTTTAATTTTTATTTATTCTTCTCTCATACAATCCATCCTGACTGCAGCTTCCCCTTGCTATACTACTCCCAGTCACCTTCCCTCTCCTCCAGACCCACCTCCCACCCTAGAAAAGAGCAGGCCTCCCAGGGACATAAATGAACATAGCACAACAAGATATAATAAGATCAGGCATAAACCCTCACATCAAGACTGCACAAGGCAACCCTGTAGAAGGAAAAGGGCCCCAAGAGCAGGCAGAAGAGTCAGAGACACCACCACTCCCACTGTCGGGAGTTCTACAAAAACAATAAGCCAACAACTTACATGCAGAAGACCTAGCACAGACTCATGCAGGCTCCGTGGTTGCTGCTTCAGCCTCTGGGAACCCCCATGAGCACTCTTTGACCCTTCTTGCTCCCACAATTCCTCCTCACCCTCTTCCCTGGGTTCCCAGAGCTCTGAAGTGAGAAACCCAATGGAGACCTCCGATGTAGACTCTCTCTCCCCCTAATGTTTGTCTGTAAGTCTCTGATTTACTCTCATCAGCTGCTTGAGGCAGCCTCCCTGATGATGACTGGACTAGGCACTAATCTGTAGGTGTAGTAGAACATCATTAGGAATCATTTCATTGATTTTTTTTCCCAGTTGTGTTTGGTTCTACCCTAGGTCTCCAGTTTCTGGTCATCCAGGCAGTGAAATGCATGAGCTGCCTCTCATGGTGTGAGCCTCAGGTTAGACCAGTCATTGGTTGGTATTTCCCACAAGTTCTGCTCCTCCATTGACATTCTGGGGGCAATATTCCATCTTTTAAACCTGTTTAAGTATTCAACAGTCATTGAATTAATGAATGGGAAGATGGATGAAACAAGGTGGCTTTAAGAAGCAATGGACTTGAGACGGGACTTTCTGAAGATTGAAGAGGCTCTTGTCTATCCTAAGGTGGCCCCTGTCACATGTCACTGATTTCAAGTCTTCAAGATACTGTGATGGTTTGAGTGGGAAATCTTCTGCATAGGCCCATGTACTTCGACACTTGGTCTCCAACTGGAGGTGCTGTTTGTGGAAGTTATGGACCATTTAGGAGGCAGAAACTTACTGGGAAATGTATGTCACTGGGGGGTCAGACTTGGAGATTTTTGTAACCTGGTTCCATTTCCTGTTTCCTCTCCAGCTTTCTGTATGTGGATGAAATGTCATCAGCCAGACCCCTAGTCTTGTCACCATGCTTACTATGTCTGCAGCCATGCCTTGCCCACCCTGATGGACTCCCTCCCTCTGAAACTGTAAGCTAAAACAAATCAAACCCTTCTACCCCTAAGTTATTTTTGATTGTGGTATTTTATCACAACAGAAGGGTAATCAGAACTAATGGGTACAGTTGGCTTTCTGGATCTAGAAAAATCATATTTGCACAGGACTTATCCTAATTATCTCCCTGCTGTGAAAAGTGTGATGCCCTGGGCTCAGGATTCACAGGCAAGGGCAGAAGGCTGTGGTCCATTTCATGTTCTGTGTTTGGCTTCAATATCATCCATACACGTGAATGAATGCTGTGACAAGGAACCATATTTTCTCAGTTCCAGCCCCTCCTGCAACACAATTAAATTAATACTTGCCAGGTGCTCTTGAGTTTATAAATCTCTGCAAGATGATGTAACAGACTGGTTGATGGGGAATAGGCTATATTTTTAGACACCCCCCTTTCCTTTTCTCCAAGAACAGCCCTAGTACTACAGTAACGCACCATTTGATATTTTAGCATTTCAGATATTTTACAGTAAATTACTTCAGTTTATGGCACTTTGCTTCCTTATATAATTGTTATAAATAACCTTAAAATGACATAAAAGCTATAAACATTGTAAAACTGAAGAGTAAATTATAGACATTTCAGCACATGCACATAGGAACTCAGACACGTTAAGGGAAGTGAGGAAGGTAAGTTTGTTTGTTCTCTCCCTCCATAACCATCCATCTCATATTTCCACAATAAATAATCTGCAGTAAATAAATGCCAAGGAGCAGAGAAAATTTCATGTATTTTCCAAAAGCCTGGAATTGACCTCCTTGTGGGGACTGACTTGCCAGCCTGCAAGCTGGAAACACCCATTTGGGGAGTTAAAGCTTAAGGATGCTTAATAGTGTCTATAGGGCAAATGGGAGAAGGATGGCCACCAAAGGAGGGGTCTGCACCTGAAGGAGGGAGTCTGAAAATAGTCTAAACTGCACTCCCCATAGTGACTTGGAGGTATTCACAAGGTCTCACAGAACTTCAGACATACCCATACATCATCATCAAGATAATAGCTACTGTTTATTGAGTGCCTACCTCTCTATGTCATGCCAGGCACTTTATGAACATTTTCTCATTGAATCCTTTACCACAAGTAAGATTAGTTGGCAAGAGAGGGCAAGGAGAGAGGACTTTAATGGAGAGAAGGGCCTTTCTATCTGCCTTCACTGTTATAAATGTTGCAAAATGTTGTTAAACCTGTGCATCTGTATATATTCAAAGTGTTAGCTTTTGTAGGGTTCTCTAGAGTGACAGAACTTACAGAATGAATCTCTCTGTATATACAGAAAGGGGATTTATTAGAATGATTTATAGGTTGCAGTCCAGCTAATACAACAGTGGGTGCCTATGAATAGAAGGTCCAAAAATCCAATAGTCATTCAGTTCAAGAGGCTGGATGTCTCCACTAATCTTCAGTATATTCTGGAATTACAAAAAAAAAGTGGACATTAATGACAGTGAGGGAATGGACTTGCTAACAAGGTGAGAGCAAGCTGGCAAAGAGTAAAATCTTCTTTCTTCCCTGTCCTTATATAGGTTTCCAACAGAAGACATGGCCCAAATTAGAGGTAAGCTTTCCCACCTCAAAAACTCTTGATTGAAGTTGTATCTTCAACCCAGAAAAGACCACATTAAAAGTGACTCTTCCCACTTCAAATTAAGCAAAAATCCATCACAAGTGTGCCTCTCCATTTTTGGGGTTTTAGTTCATTCCAGATGTGGTCAAGTTGACAACCAAAACCCATCACACCCTTTAAGTATAAACATTGAAATTATGATTGGACTTTGATAAACTTGGTTTGGCTTGTTTTTCTTGTTTGTAGACTTAGAAAATGGGAGCAGTTCATACTTCTCTCAAACTCTGGGACCTCAGCTTCTATTTCCATGTTGCAGGTAAGAACTCTAGGGCTGGGATTCAAGGAGGAGGCAATTAAGTGATCCATTGAAGATGGAGAAACCTGGGGAGAAAAAGACATCCCCACTATCTCAGTACAGTAGAAGGTGGAGGTCTTTCTCTCTGCCAAGTGCACTTTAGAAGCAGCCAGCAGGCACAGCTCCTATGCAAATCCACTCCCAACCTCATCCCTTGTGCTCAGGAGATCTTGTGTGTCTGGATGACTCTACTGAGTGACTATCTGTGTCCAAAAGTGCCCTAAATTTTTAGTTAGGGTCCCATCTTCTATAACAAGTTACCTCCACAGATATATAATAATAAAGGTCAAAATTCATACACATGCAACTTTAGATTGGGAGATAGCTTCCAATTTGTCCTCTGAGACAATTGTTTTTTTTGGTACAAGTGGAGATATTGAAACTCAGACATCCATTTGCATGTACAGAGTGGCGGTGCATACCTTTGACCCTTAGCACTCAGGAGGCAGAATCAGGCAGATCTCTTTTGAGATTGAGACCAGCCTGATCTACAGAATGGGTCCCTCCAAGCCAGCCAGGACTACATAGTGAGACTCTTTATCAACAATGAAAAGGAGGAGGAGGAAGAAAAGGAGGAGGAAGAGGGAAGAGAGAGAAGAGATGCCCAATGTTACACTGCACATTTGTTGTCAAGTTAGAAGTCAGTCCCATTTTACTAGGTAGCCTCCCTGGAGTTGTGAGTTGCAGTCTGGTTATCCTTTGCTTTACATCTAGTATCCACTTATGAGCGAGTACATACCATGTTTGTCTTTCTGAGTCTGGGTTTCCTCACTCAGGATGATTTTTTCTAGTTCCATCCGTTTGCCTGCAAACCTCATGATGTCATTGTTTTTCTCTGCTGAGTAGTACTCCATTGTGTATATGTACCACATTTTATTTATCCATTCTTCAGTTGAAGGGCATCTAGGTTATTTCCAGGTTCTGGCTATTACAAATAATTCAGCTATGAACATGGTTGAGCATGTGTTCTTGTGGTATGAGTGAGCATTTCTTGGGTATATGCCTAAGAGTGGTATGGCTGGGTCTTGAGGGAGGTTGATTGCCAATTTTCTAAGAAAACGCCATATTGATTTCCAAAGTGGCTGTACAAGTTTGCATTCCCACCAACAGTCGAAGAGTGTTCCCCTTGCTCCACATCCTCTCCAACATAAGGTGTCTTCAGTGTTTTTGATCTTAGCCATTCTGACGTAACACAAAGACAACTTGCCTGGTGGATTCTCTATCAGTTATTTTTCTTGATGTTGCAATTAAATAGCTGAGAAGAAGCAACTTAGGCAGGTGGAAGTTTGTTTTTGCTCATGATTTGATGTGACACAGTGTCTGGATCTACACGTTTTCATTTTTCCAGTGAGTTACTTTTTCCTCACTTCTAAATGTTCCACAACCTCCACAAACAGCTCTACCATCTGGAGAATGAGTTCTCTGACATAGGAGCTGTAGAGTAAACTTCATATTCAAGTCATAATAGGACCTTTCTTCATGGACAGAGACCTCTGAGGTCTCTCCATGCAGAATTACTCCTAGTGGTACCCACCTACAAGCCAACTGTTATGACTGCCATGGACTTGCTAGGGGTTAAGAGTTTTGAAATCTTTCTCTACTCCTCTTCTAACAAATAGGAACCCTGAAAAAAACATAAAAACCCATAAAAAGAGTAATTGATTGACATAGAATTACTTCCTTTGCCAGGGAAGTACATCACCCACAAAAAAGTAGTCACATATGAGAAATACATTTGAAGAAAGATATTGTAAGAATTCTCTAGCATGTGCTTTGAAGTTTGCTGGCCAGTGAAGCTTACAAGCTATGGGACTGACCTACACCTGGCTATGCTTAGGGTGAAATGTGGAGAGAAACAAAGTGCTTTTGCATCCTTGCAGATCCTTCAGCCCCAGACCCCCATGCAACTGGAGAAAGAAACTGTGTCCTCATCCTTAGCTTCCTTATAGGCACCTTGGCTAAGCCTCCTGCCTCATAGCTGTTCTCCAGTCCTCTCCTGGCCCTGTTAATAGCTAAAGTCTCTTCACTGTCTGAATCAGCAGGACCCACTGCATATACAGCAGGGCCTTCGGATATAATGGCTTTGGATTCTGTTCCTGGAGCTGGCCCCAGCAGGGATCACATTCTTGCTGTGCTGGGCCTGGGTGTCTCTCAGGCAGATTAGTTTTTGATGGGGCAGGTCCTGCACCATTTCCATTAAGTACCATAATGCAGACATCATTATCGGCAGGTGCCCTGACCTCTCCCTGACTAATGAGCAGTCATCGATACGTTAGGCACATAAACATTTTCCCCTTCTGGACAGTCTTCTTTACTGCATCGTGTCCCCTACCTCCATCCTCATATTCCCTTTCCTCTCTTCCCTCTCCTGATGGATGGAGTCAGAACACATGAGAGCTTGAAAAGAGGATGACTGAGTCTCTTAGGTTCCTAGAATGATGAAAAAAATCCCTGTGCAGAGAGTCAACCAGACAAGGATTCCTTCTCAAGGAACATAAAGCAAAGCACTCATCTTGCTGGGTCTCTTTTGCTCATTATTCAAATGAGCTTAATAATATCTGTTCTACCTACCTCAGGGATAGCGTTAGGATCAGAGGAGAATGGGAAAAGGTTGCTTTTAGGCCAAGTGTAAAGAGACCCAGGGTTTAAGAAGTCCTCCAGGCAAGGGAAATTGGGGGTGAAAAGACAAGTCATCATTTCTATATTTGGGGCAACAAGATGGCTCTTCTAAATGATGGTGGTATCAAGTGTCTTGAGCTCTGATCACAGCTTCTTGCCCATTGGGGCACCTCCTGGGGACAGGATGGTTGCACAGAAGAGCAGCTTGTATTTTCTTGCCCAGGCTGGGTGTTTGATGGGTTCTGTCCAATTCTCCCTCTGATAATTAGGAATTCTGTGAAAAATATGACTTACAAGATGATTTGACAGCTGACAAGATGACTTACTGGTCAGCTGCACAATGAGGAACTTGAAGGGACAGCGGAAGTATCTCCAAATGCAGAAGTAGATGTGATTTCCCATGTAACTGATCATAGGAAAAGAATCATGTAATCAGAGGGCTCCAGGCACAGTGCAGAAACTGGGTAAGTAGGAGAGTTCACCAGGATTTCCTAATATGGGGAGAGAGGTTAACTGGATTTTGGTTGGATGGGAAGACCTCTTGTGGTACCTGAGGTCAAATATTGGATCTATGAGCATGTTTGACTGAGATTATTACAAAGACATCAGGAGAGGTCCCTTCTGATGGACACCTGTTCTCTAAGAAGGAACATGGAAATCAAAGGAGAAAAAGTGGGTAGGGGAGAAGATTATCAGCTGGTATGTCCCCCTTCTCTTTCCTTTTCCTTCCTTTCTTCTCTTTCTCTTTCCTTTCCTTCTCTTCTGTCTTTCCTTTTTCTGTCTCCTTCCCCCTTCTCTCTTTTTCCTGTGTAATATCATCTAAGTCCTCTAAATCCAGTATAGTTTGATCTCCCCCTTTCCATCACTTTCAGTATCAAGTATCAGTTCAGGGCCCATTTCATTTATCAATCTTTGTCTCAGTTCCATCTCAGATCTCTAGCCCCAGAACATTCAATCACTGATACCTGCTCAGTAGTTGGGAGCCATACACTGCAGTCCATACATCCTTCCGAATGCATTCCCTGTTCAGCCCTACAGCATGGACAGCAGCATCGGCACTTAACAAGTATTCAATATGATGATACGTTACCCTCTCCCACCCCAAAAGATCTCAGCAAAAAGCTAATGCAGGAACTGCCCCTAGGGACACATATTTGCAACTCTCTGCCTACGGACTCAGACCCATTAAAATGCAATCTCCACATTAATTTTTTTTAAACAGGACTCTTAAAGCCGCATGACGTTAAAACTGTCTCGCCAATAAGCCACATTAACCAGCTCATCAATTTTTTTTTCCACTAGTCCATCCTCCCCATAGGCAGTTACACTGGTAGTTAAATGAACATAATCAATGTATGTTTATTCATTGGCTCACATTCCAATTTGCGGGTTACCTACCCTGCCCGATGTAGCAGCTGCATCCATCTGTGGCCTATTGTAGGAACATTTCTTCATCCCTTAACACCTCAGCCAGACAGTGGGCCAGGGGCCCAGAAAACACTCAAAAGTTAGGCTCTTGATGACTTTAACAAAAGAATAGCAAGGAAGAAGGTAAGTAAACTTGCTAAGACATGGCTCAAGAAGTATGTCTGGCTGCTCCCATGGTCATGAGTAACTAATACTGATCTGGGAAACAAACATCTCTTCAGGATGGATCCCTTACCTCAAATCAACTGAAATGGTTGGGATGTTTGTCTAAAATCAAGCTGGGGTGGGGGTGGGGAACCATGTGAAAGTCAGAGGTTTGGAGGTAGATGTTGGTGAATCTGAGTGTGGCCTGACACAACAGTGACTGCTTGTGCCTGGATGAGTGGCATCCTGGGTACCACTTCTCCCTAGACCTTGGCTCTTTCCCAGGATGGAGACAGATCAGACTTTTTCGGGTGAAATGAAAACTGTTTGTACACTCTTATATACTGTCAGTGTGTGGAAAAGAATTCCCAAGCTTGTTTCTTGTGCTCATGGGTCTTAGAGAAGCATGTAGCAGAAGCAGGCTGGTCACTGTGTGGAATTCAGCAGTCATTCTCCCATCAGCTCAACATTCTCCAGTCTTGGTCCAGAGAAAAGATTCTGTGAACCTGGCTTTATAGAGTCAAAAAGCCAAAAGGAGACAGCAGAATCAAAAAGGATTGTGTGGCACCACATCAGAGTATAAAATGGCAGTCTTTGCAACAGGCATTTCTGGGTATCAGAAAGTCAGGTAGCCCTCTTGCTCGGGTGTCCCAGTCAATTACTGTACACTCCTTACTGCTCTTAAAACTGCTTTGAGAGTAGGAGAATTAGCACTAAGTATCTTATTAGAATCATGCCTAATAAACTTTGGATGTCTGTTACTCCCAGTACTGAGTAGTAGACATGAACATAAGCGATTTGGGCAGAGATTTGAGAGACTTAGTATATAGACAGACCAGAGTAGAGATTCAGACTCAGGTCTTCAGTTCAACCTCAGGTGGTTTAATATTTCATGGGCACAAATGATGTCATCACCCACAAATGGGAGTGGCAGCATGCAAGTTAACTGTGCCACTTCTAGGTGGAAGCATCACAAGATATTGCCAGATATGCGTAAGTTGGGACTGGATGAGGGTTGGCAAGGAATGGGCAGCCACAACTTGGGTATTCAGGAGTTGGAAAAAGAATGGTCTTGTATACTGCAGCTAAAGGGACTCCTTCAAACATCTTGAAAAATGAAGAGACATGCAGTGGCAAATTTGGGCTAAAAGACCTTAGTGAGCTTTGTCAGTGTTTTCAAAGGCTTGTGAGCATCCATGGAACACAGATGTTCTTGGGTAGGGCCTATACATGACACACTTAGCTTCCCTGCTTCCCAGTGCACATGAACATTGTCTCTAGCTCCATGTATGCTTTACTATACTTACCTAACTCCTGGGTCCACATGGGTTCTCATCCTCTATTAATGTTTGGAAATCTCTCTGAATGTCTCCAGAAGGAAGAACCCCCCAGAGTGGACATTTGTCATCCTTCCTCATTTGCTGCCTCCAGGGTCTCAGTTTCACCTAATTTATCCAGGCTGTCTGATAAAAGAATTACTGAAACCAAGGAGGCCTGCACAAAGACCACATCCCAGGACTTTCTCATCTCTCCACTGTTACCATGGTGTTAGAACTGAAAGGACACCCAAGCCTCTCAGGTGACCAGATCCTGAAAAACACCATTAGAGAACAGTAGTCCATGAATGACAAAAGTAGATACGAAGACAGAGGACTCTGGAGATGGCATTCCCCTCAAAAAAGGATGGCCTGCCCCAGCTCCAGCAGGAAAGCATAGATCTGAGCAGGATGCATGCTCTCACCCCTTTACAGTGGCTAGGGACATATTGATTGAAAGGGGTTTAGGATCAGTGGGTAACAGGGAACAGTAGAGATCAATGCTTATGGGAAGGAACATCCACAATAAGGTGTGTCATGTGTAGTGAAGCTAACGAGGTCCAACCTCATTTTTTTTTCTTGAAATATTGACTTGTTAATAGTGGTAAACAAAATTTGCTTTCTAGGTATAACCAGCCCCAGGATCTCAACTAGAATTAACATGTTTAGAGAGCCAAAAGTTATATTTAACTAAGTAAGGCAAGTCAAATGATGCAGAAGTAACCATGCACTTTACAACAATAACAATAATGCTGGTCTTTTCCTCCATGTGTGAACAATAGTCACCCATTATATCTCCTACGTACTGCAAGGCTATCCTAAACACAATCCTGGAAACCTCAGTTCTAAAACTAAATCTTCAAAAAAAAAAAAAAAGTTTGTATCTGTTTGTTTATTCATTCATTCTTGCTGACCCTGGTTTAATTTGAAATCATCCTCTTGACTTGTGTGTACTTCTATAAAACTTATTATCTTGAAAGTTTGGATGGATTTGTGAAGTCTTACAGAGAGGAGCAGGGCCAGGTGGTCATTTGTAGATAGTCTGAGCTGCCTGTAGGAGGGGAGTTTCTCTCCTGTGGGCTCTTAAGCAACAATATTTATATGTATACACACACATACACACACACATATATGACACACACACACACACACACACACACACACACACAGAGAGAGAGAGAGAGAGAGAGAGAGAGAGAGAGAGAGAGAGAGAGAGAGAGAGAGAGAACATCACAAACATAGACAAAGCGGGCAGCCACTAGGACTTGTGAACTTTGAGCTGGTTGGTAAATTGTCAAAAAAAAAAAAAAAGCAAGGAAGGAAGAAGAATGCATGAGAAGGGTGTGGGTGCACAGGGAGGGAAGAAAACACCTTTTAAGATGCATCCCAGAACTGCAGCAAAGTTTGGTGGTCCAAGCTTGCATTTCAGCTCCCAAATGGAATGGAAATGAGCAATATGACAGCCATTTCGGTTGGGGTGGGGAGCAGCTGAGAGCCTGTTTTCTCAGGAAATGAGAAGGAAGCCTGAGTTTTCACCTCATCATGACACTGTGTATAGAAGGCAGTGGATGGGAAGTCTGAATTCCACTTCCCATTAGCCACCCTCAGAAGCCACCCTGCTGAGAGTTTCAGTCCTCCCAGGCCTAATGAGGCCTTGTCACAGGAATGCAGAAAACGACTGGGGAGCCCAGGTGCCTGTATTCCCTGAGCAGGGCATCACGGGGTTGATATATGTCAAGGTGCAGAAATAATTCACTGCCACGACAGTTTACTAATCCTTTAGATTGTGCATTGGGTGTGTCACCCAAACAGGTTCTTCTGTTCAGAACGGCACTCAGAAACAGTAATTTGTTTGTGCATATTCCAATCACGGAGAAGATTCATAAGCTACTGTTGAGGAAGAATGGATCACTTGCTTTTTTCCTTTAATGCAGAGAGGTTAGCTCCTGGGATTTTAGAATAAATATTTGATCTTTCAAGATCATTTTGTAGCTTGTAGCCGTCAGCCCAGCCAGGTTTTTAGTGTTTGTTTATGGTTTACACCATATGATTCAATAAACTCCGCCAGAGACGCATGTGCATAATTAAGTTTGAAAGCCAGCCCCAACCTCACCGCAGGATCAGCTCCTCAAATCACACTTTATACAGCTAATTCCATTTATTGTTGGTGGGATTTTAGTGCTGCGCACTCAGTTACTTAGAATCTGGGGTAGAACCTGGGCGTCTCTCTGCATCCTTCTTGAGGACAGTCTTTCCCCTAAATGTAAATGCTTCTCACACACATACACCTCCTCACCACCTCATTTCCAGTTCTACATTTCAATGACACAAGAGGCATCATCGCTCCACCCTACTGAATAGACATCATCCCAGGTAGGGTACTTGCTATGTTAGTCTCAGTACCACCTTCATTTAAATGGGAAAGTGAGGCTGTGTATTCTTCCCATTTCATAGTCTTTTAGGATGAAGTCTAACAAAAAGAACAGCTTATTCTTTCACAATAGTTGCTATGTTCCAGGTGCTTTTCAAAGCACCCTGTATCACCCCCAGTGAATCCACATTAACAACCTTATAAT